AGCCTGAGCTTATGGATCTCAGATCTTTTACAAAGGGCTTCAAACAAACTTATTTGACTTTTGCGTACAGTGGAAACATTATCTTTATTATGCTGGGCTTTGTTGCAGAGGAAGTCACTGACAGTTTTTCATGCCTGTTTGCTGCAGCCAGAGCTCAGGGGATTTCCTGGGCAAGAAACTATTCTGTATGATTCTGTAATGCGGGTACATTCTTTACATGTTTTTCAAAACTCACACACTGTACAACTGCAAGAAGGAGCTCCAAGGTCATCTATGGATTTTGCAAAGATGCTCCTTGTGGTCTATGAGTGGTAACATTTGTCCCCATCTGGAAGAGTTGCTGGGAAAGAGTCCTGGGGGAGACTGCCTGTGTAGAGCATGGGATGTGGGGACTGTGGCGCTTCAGTCCAAACATTTTGTGATTCTCAGACTGCTGTGTAAAAAAAATAAACAAGTTGAGCTGGAAGTGTGGCTCAAGCAGTTGTGCCTCTGCTTATCAAAACACAAACCCCCAAGTTCAAATCCCATCCCAGAAAAAAAAATACCCAAATAACAAGTCAAAGCAATTTGAATTCCAGAATTTTATTTTTCTAAATATTTATTAAATACGAACTATTCTTGGGCTGATGGAGTGGCTCTCTCACCAATATCTGCATTGGTTTAGATCATTGGAGACCTTTAAATCCAGATGGGATGATATAATGAACCATTCTTTTTTAAATGTAGCAATCAGGAATGCCTAATGTTATTTAGTTGTTTTTGCATTTTCCATTAAAAGACTTAGCTTTATTCATTTATATAGTTTTTTTTATTTCTTAGTATTTTGCAAATATTCTATTATATATTGTGTTATAAATAGTTAATGAATATTAACTATTGATGAAGTCTAGAGTTCAATTACTTCATCCTTATCATAACTTCAAGCATATAAGCAATTTGGAGGGACTACAAAGCCTGAAACTCAAAAGAATTAATTAGAACAGTTGAAATTGTGTTCTAAAATAAGGAATATAGAATTAGTACACTTGAAATTTATAACAAGTACATAATCAAAGCCCTTAAGCCAACATACTAGAATACTCAATTAACTTTTGTCTTTCATGCGTCTTTCAGGAGGGTTATGAAATCTATAGGAAAAAATCTTAAAAGAAATAAGGAGTGTCTATCTAGTAGACTTATGACTGTCTATTATTATATAGTTTGAAGTCTACTTCCTGAGTTTGTCCTTTGATCATACATGCTTATATTTTGTGTAATCTTTCATTAAAAACACATAGCACAGTGCCTGGAATAGAATAATTATAATTGCTATATTTACCTAATAGGAACAGTGTAAAGAGCCTAGACTTTGCTATTAGGTGAGGTTTATAATTGTGTCAATAATAATGAGTACTGAAATATTATGTTACTTTTTCTTCAATCTTATATTTTCTTTTAGATAAAAAGAGATGTTAGCTCTATTTCAGAAGATTAAATAAGATGATTTATATATCCAGATGTTTTCCACACTATATTGAAGTCTTTGCTGGGTCAAATCTCACTTTAAGATACCTTTTTTGGGTGTCTCACTGTTGGCCTTTTGCTGGGTCCTAACCTTAAAATCACCACTCACATGTTCAGCCCTCCCCCACTTTTTTAAAACTCAGCATGGGCATCTTGTCTATATGGCTAAGACTAGAAAGTGTGATGTTCAACCGCATGATATAGATAAAGACATTTCCTCTCCTGAATTTTTAAATGTTTGTATGAGGCCTAAATTGTCAGCTCAAACTTCTCTTTGTGTTAATAAACCCTAGAGGGTCACCTAAATCATCAGAGAACTTCTAAGATAGTGAATCCAAAATGAGACAGAATCTGATTTTCTGATTCGTGATTGTTTCCCTCATCAGTTTCTACAGATCCCATAAAGATTCATCTTCTTCTGTCACAGTGAACACTGTAAAAATGGCAGTGACAGACTTATTTGTCAACCTACCAAATATCTGCTAACACCCTTTCCCCCTGAGGCAACTCATGTAATTATATTTACATAATTAATATAGGCCCCTTAGGTAATTTTTCTCACAATAATTAAAAGCTGCTGCAGAGTTGTTAACTTTTCTACCCACAGTCATAGAGGAGACAAGCATTATTTTCAGACATTCTGTGTCAACGGCATTCTATTATGAATGTAACTCCCCCTAGCACCAAGCTTAGTATACACTAAACTCAGAGTAAATGAGAACTGTGATTGCTATTGCAAATGATTGTAATTGAGGAAGTCAACAATGCTCCAGAGCAGTGAAAAATCCTTGAACCTCAATTATTAAAATAAAATCTAAGGTATTGTATTTCTCAGGCAGAAATAAGCATACAGTGCACAATTTCCCATGGCTGATCTAGTGAGGTATATATTCAATTAATGGCTAGCTCAAAGATTGATTTCACTGACCATTACATTTATGATTAATCCAGATTTTTAAATTTGTGTAAACATCTAGGAACAAAGTATACTAGCAAAACACCTTTAAGTTTTAACAGCATTTTTCTGTTAAAATCAGTCTTTAAAGACATATATTTTTGACATGTAATAATTACACATACGTAGGGAGTACCCTGTGATGTTTTCATACATGTATATATTGTATAATATTCAAATCAGAAAAAGCAGGTCTATTTCCTCAAACATTTTTATTTCTTTGTGGAGAAAATATTTGAAATCCTCTATTCTAGCTTCCTTGAAATATACAGGATATTAACATGCTTCCTTGCTGTACAATAGCACACCAAACTTCTTACTCCTCTCTAGTATAACTTACTACCCATCGACCAACTCTTCTCCATACCTCCTTCCTTCCTACTCTCCCCAGCCTCTGGTAACCACCATTTTACTCTCAAATTCTAGAAGACTGACTTTTTGGATTCCACATAGAAGTGAAGTCATATGGTATTTATCTTTGCCTAGCTTTAATTTCCTGATTATTAGGAATAAGTATGGAAATGCAGGTGCTTCTTCAACATACTGAAAAAAACTCATTGTCTTCAAAGGGACTTATCTAAGAGAACTACAAAATTGCTGCAGTGATTTTTAATACCTTCCTACTATTTGAATATTCAGTAAACAGCAATACCTCTCTTGAGGGCAGATAATCGGTTCCCATTCTAGATGCCTATGTGACATAGATATGAAACACTAGAACAAGTCATTTCTTTTTGTATTTTAGTAATGAGAACTCCTAGAACCTGTTCTGCACATTGTCTGAAATAAGAATCAGAGTATCTGCTTTCCAGGGATTGGAATGATATCTGTATACTTTAAAACCCCTGGAATCTATGCATATTTATGTGTGATTTGTATATTCTATACTTAGAATATGTTTATATTTTATAAAGAATAATTTGTAATATTTGTAATGCATATCATTATTATTTTTCATTTAGAGAAACTTTAATTTTTCATTACAGATTATTAAACTTTATTTGACAAAACTTATTCAACATATAAACCTTTCTTTATTTTGCTTGTTCTAATTGTGTTCAGTATACTTAAATATAGTTGTCACTTATTAAAATAGATTCAACATATTAAATGTATTTATTTTTAGATGTAGTCATATATTCCCATTGACTTTTGATAAGATTCAGAAGTATTGAGAATTTGGGGGCAGGAAATTTGATAGAAAGTGAATATATTTTTTAAATTATATTTTATAGAAACTATAAACATTAGGTGTTTGTGATGTTACTTCACATTTCTCTCCATTCAATGTAGCATTTTCAAAATTGAATACTATTTATCATTAGATTAAAATGTGCTTAGTGAATTTGATAGTCTAATTTAGTGATTTTTTAAACCCCTTTCCCTGAAACTTATGTTTGCCTTTCTAATTCTTTTTATAAGGGAATGTCTATGAGTTTATTATTGTATCCTTTGATAAAAGGAGCCAATAGTGAAGTATCCCAAGTATAATAATCATTAACAGAAATTAACCTTATTTTGCATTGGTATATGTAGAAACAGATGAACAGTTGCACCAAGCAAATTCATATTGTGTGTTGTTGATTCATCTTTTTTTCCAATCATCTATTAATGATTAACAATTATTGTCAACAGCTGCAGAAAGTATATTTTATAAGGAGGAAAAAATATTTAAATTCTGTCTCACTCTACACTCCTTAACTATGTAACCTTGATTAAATAATTAACATCTCCCAACCCTTTTTCTTTCCTTTTTCTTCCTTTGTAAAGCAACAACATCAGTATCTATCTCCTGGGGTCACTGTGAATGTTAGATCCACATAGGGAATCAGCACAGAGTGCATTCCATAGTGTACTTAGGGGACTATAGCTATCATTCTGTACTACCAATATTTATAACTCCCCACTTTTCACCTTTCTCTTCTTTTCTTCTCTTCACTTTCCAAAATGTCTTTCTGGAAGTTATCTTATTTCTCTGCATGTTAACCTTAAAAAGGTCAAATTATTCTTTCCTGAATAAATTAGGTGATACATACAATGATTTGTGAAATACTAACCTCTATAAAAATCAGGAGTATGTATTACAGAAATATAGTGGATATAGGGATTTTCAAATATTAAAGTTTTTATAAGTAACTGTTTTTCATGACCTAGTATAAGATACTCTGTAGAAACAAACCTTATGGCTGATAAAAATGGAGGGAAACTGATGTAGCTATCAGAAGGCAAACCTTGGCAATTCTATCTGAATTCTATCTGAATGAACCTTGGCATTCTAATCTGAATGATGCTATGCCTTAGAAAGAATATTTGGGAAAACAGTCACATTTATTAAATTGAGAATTCTGCCTTCTCAATTTCCAGTATGAAAAACATGATTCCATTTTTCAGATCAGAAAGAACCACATTTTCCTTTTTACATCAAATATATGCTTTGAGGTACTTAGAGAAACATAGTAAGATCATTTCTATTTGAGGTCACCTTTTCAAAGTATGGGAACACTGTGGACGGTCAGCCTAAGAGCCACATTTTCTTCTTCAGTTTCCAATTGTGATTTTGAAGCAAACAGTTGTGGTTGGTTTGAAGCACTTGATGGTGACCATTTTGATTGGATATGGAGTTCCAGGAGTAAACTTTCCGCTGACATTATGAAACAGGCCCCACCTTGGGATCATACTCACAACAATTCTGAAGGTAAGAAGCAAGCAATTCTCTAATTACTTCAGTTTACTTTTCAATTAGGCCTGAGAAGATAAAGAGAAACTTGTGTTCTCCTCTATCACAACAAACAGTAGACAGTTGAATATTGTCAATCATGATTGTGCTGTCTGCAGGAAAGGATTCCTTTATAAGTGGTGCAGGTGGACAATAGATGTTTTTTGACTGGATTAGCTGAAATTATTGATTTTGGGGCTCCATTTAAATGCAGATGTAGAAAATAGTTCAATTCTTACAAAAGCAAATTTGTTATTGACTTTTTATTGTTGAATACTTTTAATTTTAGTTGGACACAAAACTTACTTGCTGTAGTGTTAAAAGCAAGTTGTCTCATTGTAGAATTTGGTCTGTTAACTAATGTTTTGTTTTTGTTGGTTAATAGGGTATTTTATGTTCATTATGAAGAAGAACAGCAGCTTATTCCAAGTTGCTAAACTCCAGAGTCCAACTTTTGGCCAGACAGGGTCTGACTGCACACTTTCCTTCTGGTAAATATTAAAAATGATGGTCATTTCCTAGTGGTCCAGTGATTGCAGGCAATCCTGCACTTGTCAGTTGTTCTGTTTTACCCTTGGTTTAAATTTAAAATTATTGTATTAAATTCATATAATTTTAACTTAGAAACATATTATCAGATTCGTTGTTTCTTTCTTAAGAGGAAGTTAACTGTTCTCCACAATTGGATTAATTAAGATTCTACCTCTGTTTTTTATGAGCTCCTTGATATAGGCTCCCAGGACTGTGAGAGCCAGAGTCAGAGTGTGCACCTCAGCAGATAAGCTTCTGTAAACAGACAGCCACAATGACTGCAGGAAGAAAGGTGTCAATTATAAAACTAATCATTACTTGACACTTGACTGAGTGGAAGAGTCTACAGGTTAAATCATTAGGTTACCCCATAAATCACTTCCATTTCTTGTGTTTGCTGTCCTTCAGGTTTTATAACTATGGCTTAGCAGTGGGAGCAGCTGAACTACAACTACATATGGAAAAATCCAATGAACCCACAACCCTCTGGAGAGTGTTATATAACCAGGGCAACCAGTGGTCACAAGCAACTGTTCAGCTAGGGCGCCTCACCCAGCCTTTCTACTTGTCATTTGAAAAAGTCAGTCTGGGCATTTATGATGGGGTCTCAGCAATTGATGACATAAGATTTGAAAATTGTACTCTTCCTCCTCCTACTGAGAGCTGTGAAGAGTCAGATCACTTCTGGTGTCAACATACCAAGGCTTGTATAGAAAAGCTTCAGTTATGTGACCTGGTGGATGATTGTGGTGATGGCTCTGATGAGGCTGACTGTGGTAAGTTTCATATTTTTTTGTATGAATGTGGACTTTTTTGGGGGATAGAAGGGTAGATTTGGCCTCTTGCTCATTTTGAGAGTGGTGACCTTGAGTAGTTCACTTTTTTTGACTAGTCCTATGACACTGAGTATAGCTAAAAGTTAATGAATACTGTGTGGAACATAATTAAATTAGTCAGAGACATCAGGATTTATTAAGTAGACTTTTTATCTAGATACTACATATAAAATGATAAGCACAGTTACACAGAGCACCTGCCTTCAAGAAGCTTACAATTGAAGAGATAGATATTTAAATATTTAGCAAAGCAATATAAAATGGCAGCTTTGATAGGAGCTATGAAGACATCGTACATGGCATTGGATTTTCTATAGGTGATGACTTTGCTGAAATCCAAAAGAGAGTAAGTCAGAGTATGCATCAAGAGTCCTGCTGTGTAACTGTGAGACAGATGAAAGATGGCTGGAGCAAGGAGATTAAGGTGAAACAGGGCACAACAAAGAGATGGAGAGATGGGAAGGCTGGATTCATAGACTTCTGTAGTTCACATTAAAAAACTTTCCTTCATTTGAAAATTTTTAAGAAGGAAGATATGACAAAATTGACATATTTTAAAATGTCCCTGTGGATGTGGTATAATGACTGAATTAAAGAAGAGCAGATTCAGAAGATCTGTCAGAGAACAATTGTGGTAGCCCATGGGAGACAAGTTGGCAGTGACTTGCCTTGACACTGATAGAGATGAGGGACAAGGCTTGGGCTACATATTTTGGGAGAGATGTTTGATTATGTTTTGGCTCTAGGGAGAAGAGAGCGAGATGCCAAAAGTCAGTCTTGACTTTCTGGTTTAAATTACTGAAAAGTTTGTGGTCATCTTATGATTGCATGGGTCTTACAGTTTAACAAACTTAACTCATAATGTCTGAAAATGCATCAGAAGCTAATAGTATTTTTTAAGTGCAAAAGTGTGTCAGAAGAAAAGTTTACATGTTTTCTTGAACTCAGATTCCTTGTCCAGAGACTACCATGATTCTCAAATTTTAAGATGTGCATTTATTACATTAGAAGACTAACTAAAATCAATGTAGAATCATAGCATGCTTGGTACCTTTTAGAAAACATTTGTATTAAAGAACTTTCATATAAAACACTGTAGAGAGCTTTATATGTATGTGGTCTTTGATATACACTATTCTCAATAGTATATTAAATCAGAGATATTAGTCAGACTTACCATGCATTTCAAAATTTACACAGGTCATATTTGAGTAGATATAATTAACATTGATGAATTTGACAATGACCATGATAAGAAGTTCAACTTGCCCTATGCTAATTTATTTTTGCAAATTCAGAAAGCTTTTTAAAAATATTTTTTATGTTCTCTAAACCCTACTCAATAAAAAATATGTTAGTCTGCTGCTAAAATAAGCAAATTATCTCTCAAATTTCCCAGTATTCATTGGACAAGAGTATGGGAGTATGACCATAATATCAAAATATTTCTTGTGATTATGTATTGGTGAAAGGAAATAGTGATAGCATAGTAATATCAGCTTTTCTCACGCCTTTCCCCAATGACATATTGTTTTATTATGTAATAAAAAAATAAATAAAATCCTATGTAGAATGTAGAAATACAGGTTGTATTTCCTGAAATATGTTTAGAGATGTGGTCTTTTATTGAAGGGTGTGCTCCACATATTCTCTTCTGGAATGAAGATTGAATGTGCAGTCATTAGGAAGACAGGTGATGTAAAAATCTGTTGGCTTTAGTGCCAGTTTTATGTCAAAAACTCAGCAAGTTGACATTCTCCTTCTGCTCCACAGCAAAGACTGACACCTGGAGAGGACATCGTGTGTCCCAGCCACGTCACAGCTGGGCTTGATTAGTCACAAGTGAGGAAATATCAGATGAAAGCTCATCTCCCATTTGACATTTGTTCACTGGGTTCCCTTCATTAGGTCTAAGCTCTTCTATGCTATTTGGAGACAGATGATCTATTCTCGCCTTGCTGCATTTATTCACATATGCTTTTATTTATTGTTTCAGGGTGTTTGCTCACCTTTGGCACCAAGTACTATTACTAAGATGAATAGTTACAGGACAGCTGACATTTATTTTTTTAAAAATGTTAACTTATGTAAATGAAACTAAAATGTGGAACTTAATGTGAATTCCTAAATTCCATTCCCTCATCCTAAATACTCTCACATTTGAGAGTATTTATCCATTTATCCTACAGCAAATACTTGCTGTCAACACAATCTTCATGTCTTGAAAAATGAGCATGTTTCTATATTACTTTAGAAATTAGTGTATTTAGTTGATGAGGAGATTGTTGATTCTTTGCAAATCTGAATTGTTCCAGTGGCTGAAGGTAGTTAAAAGTTTAAGAGCCCTAGTTCCCTTTATATACTGTTGGTGGGAATGTAAATTAGGGTAGCCACAATGGAAATCTGTATGGATGTTCCTCACAAAGCTAAAAATAGAATTGCCATATGATCCTGCTCTAAAGGAAGGAAACATAATGGAGATCCCTGCACACCCATGTTTATTGCAGTGCTATTCACAATAGCCAAAATATGGCATCAACCTAGGTGACCATTAATTGCTACATGGATAAAGAAAATGTATTATATGTACACGATGGAGTATTTTTTGACCATAAACAATGAAGCCATGTCATTTACAGGAAAAATGGATGAACTGGAGACTATCACATTGAGCAAAATAAGGTAGATTCAGAGAGACCAGTAGTACATACTTTGTGATATATGTAATCCAGAAAAAAGGTAACATGAAAGTAGAAAGGTGTGGGGGGATATTAGAGAAGAGGAATAGAATCAGGGATAGACAGAGGGAGGGTGAGAGAGGGTAGTGGGGGATAAATATAATCAAAATATGTCATATGCATATATGAAAAGGTCACATTGAAACCCTACATAATTAGTATGTGCAAGTAGTTTGCACTAATAAGAAAAAATAAAATAAAATAACATAAAAAACTTAGCTCAATGGACCTTCAATCCAGTGAGAGGAAAAGACCACTACTGATGAGATGCAGGAAAGAATCACCTGGGCATATGGTTAACATTAGGCATAAATAGAGATGGAGGAAGAAGGTTTGTTACCCATGGGTGCTCTCAGAAGACCCTGGCTGAGAAGATCTCAGGTCCCTGCATCTGGAAAACAAAGAATTGGCCAGAGACACAGATTGAAAGCAGGAGCAAAGTTTTATTGAAAGAGAAAAGAAAGTATAGGCAGAAAGATATACCTCCAGAGTGCAGGGAGTTCTGACCACATAGCTCAGGAGCATCAGTCTCTTCATTTAAAGGGCAATTTGTAATTTTTAAGGGCAAACATTGGGAAAAATATGGGAGGGCTTTGCAAGAGGAACTAAGATAATTGACAGATTTAATTGACAATGTCTTGTTATATAACATGGGTCATTCTGTGCATGCACTTGTGCCAGGTCCTGGGTTTCTAATTGTATGTATGAGATAGGAACAATATTCTTAAGGTCTTAAGTAGAGAGCGTTACCTGACAGGTCAGAATGAGGACAGGTTTCCCTTTATCAGGCATGCACCATTTTCCAGTCTGAACCTGCCAAGAGACTCCCACATCTTGTGGGAGAATTTATAACTCTAGAGGAATTTACAACTGTAATCCTGACCACAAAATGACCATAAGAGTCCAAAGATGGTACTGAGTAGAGACAAGGAGGACTTTGGCATGGAGTGACCCTTTGTTGAGGAGGGTTTAGTCCCATGAAATTATTTTTTTGTTTTTTGTTTTTTTCTGTTATTAACTTTCCTTAACTGCATGATAAGGGGAAAAATAGCTGAGGGTGAACCAGAAGTTGTTTTCATATTTACGAAGGAGATTAGATTCAAATTTAGATTAAACGAGAATGTACTAAAGGATTTTTCATCAAGAAAGAAATGATAATATTGCCAATGAAGGTTTTATCATTTTGGCACTTGTGTATAGGAACAGTTGGAAGTGAGACAGGATAGAACCAAAGAAAAGTACTGCCATGAGTACTTGTTAAAAATGTGGACTTTTGGGTTTTGCCCCATAGTAAATAAATGAGCATTTGCTGTGGAGTTATGCCATGAATTTTACTATGAGCTTCAGGTGACTTTTAAATATTAAAACCATTAGAATATAATTATTCTCAACTCTACTAGAATCACTATGAGAGCTTACAGAAGTTCCTGATGTAGCTTTACTACTTGGCCCAATTAAATAAACAACTTTGGAGGTGAATTCTGGGCTTTGGTGATTTTGTTTGTTTTTTAATGCGCCTTCATGATAGGAACAGTCAGCTTAAGATGAAATGCACTGATCCAGAAATTTGTCACAGTGAACCAGCCATGAGGTCATGCTCATTTTCCTGGAGTTACAGGAAGCAGGGACAAACATAAAAATTTGGAAAACAATGGCCAGAGCCATTCAGAAAATAATGGCATAAAGCATCTTTAAGTCCATAAAACAGTATTATTTGTTATATTATCTAGGATGTACTAACTCTTTGTAAAACTGTACTTTAATGTTGCATTTTAAAATTAAAATGACTAAATATTAGCAAGGTATCTCTAGTTTTTAAGATCATATTTATTTTGTCCTTGATTATCTTGTGTTCTTATTTAATGCCAATTTCAGCACCTGAACTACAGTGTAACTTTGAAAGTGGACTTTGTAACTGGGAACAAGGTACAGAAGATGACTTTGACTGGACCAGGAACCAGGGTCCAACTTCCACACTTAACACAGGGCCAATGAAGGATAATACTTTGGGCACAGCTAAAGGACACTATCTCTACATAGAATCTTCTGTGCCACAGGTTTTCCAAAACAAGGCGACTTTACTCAGCCCAATCCTTAACACCACTGCCCCCCAGGACTGCACCTTCCGTCTGTACTACCACATGTATGGAAAGCACATTTATAGACTGGCTATCTACCAGCGAATCTGGAGCAACTCAAGAGGACAGCTGCTGTGGCAGATATTTGGGAATCAAGGCAATAGATGGATAAGAAAGCACCTCAATCTTTCCAGCAAGCAGCCCTTTCAGGTATGGATAATGGGTTTCATAATGTGTGTTTGCAATACTTCAGGATGTCCGAGCAGTGTGAAAGATCACAATATTCTTAAATGAAAAGCTAATAGAATTGGATCAAAGTTACTTTGATACACATTTATCATTTAATTAAGGATGTGACAAAGCTCTTTAAGTTGCCTTGCTCTTGACTACCCCGATGATGCCTGATTAGACTCTAGAGATGAATACATGGTGTTGGAAACAGATGCAGGTTCCTCCAATTTTAAGTATTTGTTCTACTGAAATAAAAAATCTGGGGAAAAGAAATGAGTTTGGCACACTCTGAGATTCTGCAAAAAAGCACAGACTCATAAATCTGTGATTTTGAGTACTTCATTTGACATTTTAACTTTTTATAGGTGAACATCTGAAATCCAGACAGAGCACATGCTTTATTAAAAAATATCACACAATTACACTGGGGAAGAGTTCAAGTTTAAATCCAGGTCTCTTTACCCCTGGTGGTATTTTTTTTTATTCTCAATTTCATCTGTGTTCTCCTATAAGTCAAACTTTCAATAGCAAGTTGAAATGCATAGGTGGTTTTTACAGTTTTGAAAGTACTTTTATATATATCTTCTACCTACTTGATTCGCTCAGCAGTTTCCTGAAGTGGGTAAGTCAGAGGTCCTTTCTACCATTTTTTGTAGTATCAGGAGAAATCTTCAGAGAAATTGTGATTTGTCCTTGGCCAAATCATTGTGAGTCACACAACTGTACTGAAACTTAGACTGGAACCCAGAGTTTCTAAATAGTTATTACTCATTCCTTTCCAATGTATTATACATGCTACAGCATATAGAGGACTTGAATGTTTTATCTCCATTTAATCAAAGAGATATAAATAAAGTGTATGAGAGGAAAATTCTTACCTATCCATGAATAAACATTTTTTGTTTGTTTGCATGTATTAAACTTCTTTCAGTTACACCCATTGATATCACTATCTCAATTTAAATGTCTAAATCTAGTTAATGATTTCATAGACACGAACTTAGCTCCAGGATACATTTAGAAAGCATCCAACAATCATAGATGCACATTGTACGTGACTCAATTAGTAACAAACACTTTGGGATTGGTCAGTTGTCCAGAGAGACAGAAGCCTAAACCATGAGAGCTAATCTTCCAGGTGTACTGTGATATCTTTCTGTTCCACTATAATGACAAGATACCTATAATCATATGGCCTGAAATTGAAGAAGAGTGTTTCTTTTTCAACTTTCATTTAGTCATGGTTCATCCACTACAAATTCCTTATTTAAATAGCTTTTTATTTAAATAGTTCAGGCTGGTCAGGAACTTGCTATATAGCCCAGGTTGGTCTCAAATGCACCATCCTGTTCCTCTCAGTGCTGGGATTATAGGTGCACTAACGTGCTCCACCCACCTCAAAATGTTAATTTCAATCAGATTATTGTAATTTGGACCAAACTAGTATTTCATGAACCATCTCTTCCATGATGAAATCTAGTCCTGTGATGATGAAATTAGATAGTCTGCTGCCTTACAGGTTAATCACTCAAGATCCATTTGATGAATGACTTATTAATTGTTCAAAATGGAGTCCAATTTAAGCAACAGGATATGTTTTTCTCCATTGAATAGAGAGTAGTCACAATTTTTTTCTTTTTTTTTTCTACTGGTTCTGTATCACCACATGAAATTTCCATGAAAAGTCAATCCAGCAAAATAATTTGTTATAGAACATCCTATGTGGAAGGCCTGGGGGATGCACAGGTCACCCAGGGCCACGCTACATTATAGAGGCTGTTGAATGAAAATGAGAGAGAGGATACATTGTAATCACAACTATTTTGAGACTATTTCAAACTAGAACTTCTAAGGAGGCTTCAACTCAACCTGAGCATATCACTGACGTTTAGAAAGGAGTATTTCTAACGATGAGATTCCTTATTACATCTGGTCTCATCTATATGTCACGTTTACTTAAACTTAAATGAGAGTGTAAGTACATAATAAAAATAACTATTTCACAAGTATTTATTATATGACATTTTCAGTACCTTTATTGATGGTTCACCACAAATGTTATCTCCAAATCATAGAACAGTACATTTTAAATTACTTAACATTAAAATTGACCCCGGTGTACTCTGATACTTGCAGTGTTGAGAATCAACTGCTTCGTGAGGTTTTTCTATCTTGTCACTGGATACATTGACAAAAATATTTTCTTATACAGAATTGAAATCTGTCTCACTTTGCTTTTCCCTTGTAAGATTGGATATCTTGGCATGGATTCTGTACTAATGGTAGTCACTGATAATATTACAAAAATTAAGTTTATTCCAACTTATAAAGTTTTAGACATCACAGAAACCAGGACTCACAATTTCAGCTCATTTTTCCTATCATGACCTCTTTTTCTAAAGTGTACATCTGTGTATGAAATAGACTGGGAAGTGGACATGGTTCTATAGAGATTCTTCAACTCGACCTTTCAATTCCTGTGTCAGAACAAACTGAACAAATTCAACTATGCTCTTGTAAATCCTTCAATAGGAAAGATTTTCCAGGTGAATTTTGTACTGAAAGAGATGGCATAATTTTTAAAAAACCTTGTTTATAACCATAATTTGATTTTGAATATAATAGGATAGGCCTTTAAACTCTAAATTGTGCATCAGTTTTTCAGTATTCCTAGGGAAAAAATGTTTCTGAACTTATGTTGTAAATAAATAAAGACCATATTCAATAATGTTAAGTTCATCTCACTTTTCCTGAAACTACTCTCATAAATACTGAAAGTATAAATTCTATGTGCCATTTCATGTAACATTTATCTTCCAAGTGTGTGTAGAATTTGCAAAAAAAGGTTTCAGATGGAGTCTGTTGGCTTGAATCCCGCATGAGCAACACTCATGGATTTGTTTTTTAAACTGTACACTAAATCTTGTCTCACTATCTTAAGTTTCTCATAGGCTCCCTTGAGCTGAATTCAAAATATAGTCAGAGATTATATGTCACCTCTTCATTGAACACTGATGCGGTGTGATGAGCTAATGAAGAATCTAAACTAGAAAAGGAGAGAAGGGTCAGGCAGAGGTAATTGAAAGAATGTATGGGGAGCCAGGCATGGTGGTACGTGCCTGTAATCCCAGCACTCAGGAGAATTTCCTGTTTGAGGCCAGCCTGGGATATATTGTAAGACTCTGTCTCAAAAAAGAAAGAAAGGAAGGAAGGAAGGAAGGAAGGAAGGAAGGAAGGAAGGAAGGACGAAAGGAAGGAAGGAAAGAAAGAAAGAGAAAAAAACCAAAATAGTGTAAGATGAGCCAAAAATGATGCAAATTTCTCAAAGCCATTATTTTAGCCCTTTTATACTTGCCATGATTTCTATAGTACTTAATGGCATCTAATAGTTTTGACCCTCCAAAAGAGTATTATTTAGGGTCAGCTTAACTAGAAATATACAGGAAATTTTGAAATCAGTATATACTTGTAGTTGTTTCCAAATATACAATAAAAGAAGGAGACAGAGGGGAGAAAAAAGAGATTTGAGTTATTGGGAATGAATATTTTATTTTTATTGTTGGGTGGGGGCACATTGTAGCATTTACAAAATTTCTTATGATGTATCAAATATATCATACTTGAATTCACTCCCTCCACTGCTATCTTTCATCCCCCCTCCCCTGATTCCTGGAACAGGTTTGACTGTTATCATTTTTGCATTTATATACATGTGTATACAGTATTTTCGTCATATTCATCCTCCTACACCTTTCCCCACCACCTCCCTCCTCCCACCAGTGCCAACCCCCCTACCTCCTTGGGCAGAATCTGTTCTGCCTTCCTGTTCTCCAGTTTTGTAGAAGCAAAAACAAAAGATAAAAAGAGAAACATGGCCTTTTTGCTAGTCTGAGATAAAGATAGCTGCACAGGGAACTTCTTTGTGTTGTTTCCATGCACATGTGTATTACAACCCCAATTGGTTCATCTCTACCAGTCCTCTTCACTCCTCTATAATCCCCTTCCCATGGTGGCCCCAGACAGTTTAAGATTTCTGTAGTCACTCTTGTACAGTGAGCAACTCAACCATATTCAAGTTTTTGGTTTCCTTCCCTTACCCTAAACCTCTTGTGTGAGGCCTCCCCTTCATGTGACCCAGTGTCCCACAATATTTCTGCGTTTGTTTTAGGTCTATAATCTGCATACAAGGTGAACATGTGTCTTTTGACCTTCTGACCGTGACTAACTTCTGTTAAGATGATGTTCTCCAGTTCCATCCATTTACCTGTGAATGACAAAACTTCATTCTTCCTTATGTCTGAGTGAAATTCCATCGTGTATAGATTGCACATTTTCTTAATCCAGTAAATGAGTATTTTAAATTGCAAACAGTTTGGCAGAAAGAGTAATGTAAATACTAAGCATGAAAGTGAATACTTAAATTCTCTTTTGCCTTTTAATCTTTTTTACTATGTGGCCTATTCTGAAATTTAATGTAACTATGTCCCTTCTGCTTTCTCTGCTGCATATAGCAGCATTTGGGACTTTTCTGTAGGTAGGTACTGCAAAATCTCTGCAGAATCCTGCTCTTGACTAGATTTGGAAGAATGTAGTGAAAAATATAAGTCCTGAGTCTATGGCAGTCATGTCTGATTCTGCAGATTTTGTCAGGTAGAGACTACTCAGTCAAGGGATGCTAAATGGTGTTGAAGTCTCAACTGTGGGATGTATTTGCCATTTGGGAATTTTCAAGAGCAAGCCTGATATGCTAACACCTTCCCTGATAACCTTTACTTGGCAAGGAAGTATTTAAATTTATTCGTGTGAAAGTATGATATGAAGAAAGTTGCATTCGATTATCAAGGCTCAATTATTTTGTTAAAAACTCTACTTTCAAGCCTGTATCTTATATGAATCTTAATCAGTGTCTGTCTCCAGGATGACAACCCAAAAGGCAGTTTATTCCTCTGTGATGTCTACTGTTCACTCCTAGGAATAAA